CCTTTCCGTTCCTCCATCCTTTTTCAACCCCCGTTTTTATTTCGATTCCCCCCGCGGTCCCCACTCGGCTTCAATTTCGCGCATTGGCCCGAGGGGACGAATGACGGAATGCGATCAGATGTAAAATATTTGTCGGGCGCCAGAAAATACACACATACACACTTACAGATTCGCATCCGAACAACTTTACAAACATTTGCAACCGGAAGTATACGTATATATCCATATATCCATGTATAAAAGGATGAAATAAAAAAGGAAGAGCGTCGCCTTGGAAAAGAGCCCTGTTTTGTCTTGGTTATTTATTTGTTTTATCATTGCTTTCCTCTTTCGGTACTTGCCATACATAATGCATGACCGTTGTCGCATACACTTCTCTTTCTTTATTTTTTTTCCATTTCTTTTCTTTTTCCTACATCTGTCCCAGCCATGTGTTTTAACTTAAGTTTTACCTAAATATTAAAGAAATATGTATCGATGTTTTATTCATACAAGAAACTCGCTCTATTGCTAAACATTATACAACTTTACATGTATTTACCATTAGAATAAATACCATTAGAATAAAATTAGAATAATTATAGGAAAACATATATACTTAGAAATAAATTTTGAAACATATTTTCAAAAATTGCAAGCAATATTATTATAACAAAATGTATATAAATATTTATGTATGCATCCATATGCATTTAATAAAATTAATTAAAGTTATCTATTGCAATATAAAAAATAACTTTAAAATATCTTTTAATTTTCTATAAAAAAATTTAATATTGAATATTGATCAATACATTGAAATTAAATTTATTTTGAATTTCTTGGAAAGATCTAAAATGATATTTATTTTTTTTTAATTTTTAATTAAAAGTGAAGAGATTTGTATATAGATTTTTTATTGAATAAATTAGTCGATAATATTCTATAAAAATAAAAAAATAGATATTTTCTCAATTAAAATTTACAAAGCTCACACAGACAGGGTTTGTCAACTTGGACTGATTGTTTTAAAATATTTATAATGTTGTGTCCAATCGTTATTATTACAATTATTATTGTTAATATAGTGTATTAACGAATCCACGGCGTATCTTCATCGCCTTATTGTTTAAACATATACATCAGCATAAAGGGAACCTTCACCGTGGGAGCGATTGTAACATTCCTTCCTATTTTCAACTAAGAAACCAGACTCTGAATAGGCAGACCAACTACTGAGACCAAAATTCCGTATAGGAGCAGTGACCTGAAGCGGAATGTCCTATCAAAACCGTGTTTTACCCGCTAGCTTAGTTAATTTTATACGTAGAATAATAATTAGTCTTAGGAAGTACACTAAAGAAACAACTACTGAATGAAGAACTACAATAAAGCAAATACTTTGAAGAATATTTTAATAATAAACAACAAGTAAAACTCGTTCAATTTATTATTTACCAAACCTAAGGCTCCACAACAGACAACAGAAGAAGATATCCCACAGTGTCCAGAAATCCATCCCTGGGACACGACAATAACTTCTGAGTTTTTATTTTTTTTTTTAATTATTTTTGTTGTAGATTAAAAAGAATTTTTATAATTTTTATAATTACTACATACTCAAAGCAAGAACTAGTAAAAATGATAAAATTTTGTTATATTTCCCGAGGATTTATTGTTAAAATGCACACAAAAATACCGTTCGCATTTTAATGTTCCAACAACTCTCAGTGCAAACATGATTAGAAACTTAATCAGCCGTTTTTAGTAACGGGGTGCAGTATGTGATCATCACCGATGAAATGTTCATCGTACTGTTCACAATGAAGAAGTTGTGGTGGCTGTACGACAGAGTATCAACGATGTCTGTGTCTGCTCGTCGACATGCAGCATCTCCAGAACATCGCTATGACTAATATTGAAACTTGATTCGAAGACGAAAATTCAATTGATCCAAAAATTGTTAACACGGGATTCAGAACAATGGCGTAGATATGATAATACATTAGGTGACCGAAATATTTCGAAAAATTGAGATTTTAGTTTTGTCTCTGTTTTCCCAATTTAACGGCACCTGATTTCTTTTTGTAAAGACGGTTAACCAGAATAAACCACAAACAGATGCGAAAAATGCATGATAAAGAGTCGTGGCAACATGCTATTATTTTCTTCACTTATATAATAAAAATTCTAATAAACTATACTTTCATGAAATAAAAAAAATATATGTATTTTACATCAGTCAGTCGAAGTTGGCCCACCCTGTATAACCCTTAAACTACTGAAATATATTCACAAAACTGGCTGTAAAAACGCAAAAAAAAAACAAATTGAAACATTTTATAAATTTATGCTACTTTCCGTTTCAAAACTGTGTAAATATAAATAACACAATATTATCATCAAAAATATATTTTACGGTAAATTGAAAAATAAAAAAACTAAATCGGAGTTATGAATTTATTTAAATAATTTTTATTTCAGGATTTTAATTTGTTTAATAATGCGATAAATTTTGTAACAGTCCTTTTTTAAACACCGGAGACCAAGTTGTAACATATTTTTTTTTTCACCTCGAATAATATTTGGCAAATTATTTGTTTATTTTTAGTAGATGGAATAATAACTGTTGTTTGCAATCAAAATTGAAACATATATTATCTATAAAATACAGATTAAATTGTTCATATTTTTACCACATGAAATTTTTATTTAATCTTTATTCATACTATGAAATATGTGCAAACTTTTTTTTGTTTTTTTTAACAGAAATTTTATAAAAACTGTGCAAAATTTAATTGAAAATAGTTATTTAAAAATTGATCTTTTTATTCTTTATAAGAAATATTATTTTCAGTATTATTTTTTAGATTTATACACAGTTGCCTAAAAAAAATAATTATAAAATTTTTCAAAAATAGTATTTTTTATGAAATAAAATGTAACTTATTGATAAAATATTTGATTATTTCTTTGAGTTTACATTAAGAAACTAACGGTTTTTGCTCTTTGATGAAACGGAAAGGACGAGGAAAAGAAAGCTCATTACGGATTTCTTTGCGACGAAGTTCCTGCTACAACTCATCCGCTCGGCCCATCCATTCTGATGCGGTGGAGCTACAAAGATATATATATACCCCAAGTAAGGGGTGGAAAAGAGAGATGTAGCGGAGATTGCGTTCGAGTGTGAGTTTAGACCGAGTTTCGCTTATTCCGTCCATTCGAAAGAGGTTACGTAAACATTTACAGTGGCAACAATAAAAACGGAACGCATACACACAAAAAGCATATAAAATACAGAAAAGCACGGCGAGAAAACAGAAGCTGAACAAAAACAGCGAACGAGGGTAAAAATAAATAAAAACAAATAAAAATAAAAAGGAGGAAAGAAGCCAGAAGAAGCATGCACTGGTAGGATAAGGAGACGGGCGTAACGAAAGTTTGCAAAACTGTAACAAAATTAAAGTACTGTCGGAATTGCTAATTGCTTTGAAGGACGTCTCTGCTCCGGGCGAGGCGCGTCCAGGCAGTAATTGCATAAACTTTAAATTAACTTTCGGTTATCTGGAAGATATTTCCAGATGGAGAAGGAAACTCCATCAATTCTAAACCGGTTTGTTCGGATAATTCGATGCGGTTTTTGAATGCAAGTTTCGTAAACGCTCGGTGATTATCACAATAAATGGTGATGGGATTTGCAGTGAAAGTCGTTGCTACAAAGATAACAACATCTAAGAGTGGACAAACATCTGCCAAAGAGAAACTTCAAATCATTTCGACTCTAATCGAAGGAAATATCGAGTGGTGGAGATTCTTCTGGCAAGGAGAAGAAGGATCAACAACAACTAGAAAAGAAACGTTGGAGGAGGGTGAAGTATGAGGAGAAGTGGGCAAAGGAATAGAAATAAAACGAGCTGAGAGCGACGCCTGGACCGAACAAACAAAATAATCCAATCGATTCTGGGCCAAGCCGAAATTGGCATGTGATAGTTTTCCAGCTAGAGTTTATTTCTTTGGGAAATTGCGAAAGACCGTTGTTATATGGTCCATACACATAGTCATTGCAAACTTGTGCTGCATTCGACGAACTTACAAAACGGCCATATTGTATTTGACATATACAATATATTTAGGTAACTTTACTTTTCAATTAAATTCCAACACAAGTTATCAAATAATGTTTCTATAATATAAGTTTCGGTTGCTAGGTTTTAACCATTTATAACAAATATATCAAAATAAATATAAATTTACACCTTAACTATATTGTAAAATTAATAATAATTTTTTGAAATTTTACTCATTAATGAATAAAATAAAAGCAATGAGACTTCATTTATGCTTTGTAAACAATTTATATACATACACCAATTCTTAAAAATCGTTCCGATTTTCGAAAAATTTGATTATGCAATAGTAACGAATTTGTTATAACACAATTGTAAATAAAATCTAATAAAATTTAAAAGACTTCACCTGTTTTTAATGATTGGGTTGAGAGAAGTTTACTAAATAAAAAATAAATGTAAACTATATTCATTAAATGTATACTAAAAAATGAGCATTACATGTTTGTATAAACGATTTTTTTTAAACGGACCTAAATCCATTTGACCTTCCTGCAGGATACACACATTAACTCTTCATCCACTTCATCCCACTAATCCTTCTCATCAAGTTAATCCATTTCAAGTGCATCCCCTATTTATTCTCAACTTTATCTTCCTTAACTCAATTTCACTTTATCTCCTTTCGCTATTCATTATTACTCACATAGACCATGATGATTGACCAGAAAAAATAAACATTATTTGATTTATTAATAAAATTTGTTTAATGAAATGTATACTAAATTAGAATAAATAGAAAGAAAATAATTACTAAGATTATTATAACTAACTTATAAATCAAATAATAACTTAACTAGATTATAAATATTTAATATCTAAACTTTATTGAAAATTGATTGTTTTAATTGAATTGATATTGATATATAATTGATTTTATATTTCTTGTTGCAGGTTTCAATTTATGCAGATGGTAATGTGGGAGTGAGTGAGATGAGGAAATCAGGGCTGTGGATGGTGGTGGTGGCAGTGGTGATGCTGGGTGTGGCTGAAGCTTGTCCCAGTTCGTGCGTTTGCAAGTGGAAGAACGGAAAGCAGACTGTGGAGTGTAATGATAAAGGATTGCTGTCGATACCAGGAGGTATGGACGCTGGTACTCAAGTCCTAGATTTGTCCGGAAACAGCGTGGATGAGCTTCACGCTGAAATCTTCCTCAAGATGGATTTGATTAATCTGCAAAGGATATACATGGCGCGATGTCGCATCCACAGTATAGATGAGCGAACGTTCAAAGGATTGACAAATTTGGTAGAATTGGATTTGACTGGAAACCTTCTGGAGGCCGTGCCCACCGATGCGTTCGTCGATTGTCCTTCGCTGATGAGGTTGACTCTCAACGCCAATCCGATTAGAACGGTGAGAAGAGCTACGTTTGCTCCACTTTCCTTCCTCAGCACGTTGGAGATGAGCGAGTGCGAGATTGAGAGTCTGGAGGTCGGGGCGTTCCAGGGACTGCACAGTTTGGAATGGCTAAGATTGGATGGGAATCAGCTGAGAATGGTAAAGGGGGGGCGCGTTTTGCCGGAGAATTTGAGGGGAGTCGAGTTGCAGGGAAATCCGTGGGAGTGCGATTGTCACCTTCTGGAGATGAGGTCGTGGTTGGAAACGTTTAGTATAGCCAGTTCGGCTGAGCCCATTTGCGCGGGGCCGAAGAAGCATTCGCGACGCCCGGTGAAATCGATACCTTCCAGCGAACTTGCTTGCCTCCCGGACGTGTCTCCAACGACGCTTTACTTAGAAATCGGCGAAGGCAAGAATATATCGTTGATTTGCAGCGTTCACGCAATTCCCGAAGCTCGAATCTCCTGGTGGTTCCAAGGGCAACTCTTACAGAACGACTCTCTGGTGTCTCCAGGTTTGCGTTTACTTTACTACATCGAAGAAGGTGAGGAAGATAAACGGAGCGAACTCTTTATTTATAACACGAGTCCAGAAGATAATGGAACGTTCGTTTGCACAGCTGAGAATCCTGCTGGAGCGGTTGCTTCTAATTACACCATTCGGATTATCGTTAAGGAAGAGCCTATTATTGTAGTTGTGGCCGTTCCTTTCGAATACCTTTTAGCTGCGACCGTCGGAGTCGTATCTTTGCTGGTAATCTTAGCTATAGCTTTGATAGCTTGTATAGTTAAGTATCGCAGAAATCGTAGGCGTCTTCAAAAGCGCGAGAAGACGAAGGAGGTGGCGCTGCAATACCAAGAGAATAATAGCAAAGTTGAAGAGGATTTAGAGCAGATCACGGATGAGTTGAAGCAGAACATTCTGAGCGAACCTCAGGTGATGTTCTATAGTCCCCCGTTGAGCAAGGAAGTCTTAAACACCATGTCTCCATTGACGACTCACCAAATTCGAAGTCCCTTATCCCTGAGGCATTACCACTTGGAGCAGAATCCTGATTTAATCAACGACACAGAGAGCGTGGGAAGAAGACGTGAAGGAGATGGCGAAGATGACCATGACAGCGCTTCTACCATCCCAGCGGAAGCTATGCATCCCAACCTAGTGCAATTCCCGATCAGCTGCTTGAGAGGCAGCAGGAAGTTATACAGTTTGCACAGCTGGGATGGGGAGCAGTATCCCGCCGATTACGGTCTCCCGAAAATGGTGAACGCGGCGCCGCAGAGCGCGGAGAACTTCTACAGAACGTTGCCTTATAATCGAGCCGCGAAGAGGCATCAGCAGTCAGCGGCTAATCCCCTCAATAGGTTCTCAAGGGAAGCGGAGTTCCTGTCGCGCAGCTCGCAGTACGAGCAGTATTGTCCTGCGGATGTTAGGTACACGGCCGACGGGTATCCCGCGAGGCCCGAGCTAATGCCTTCACCTCCGGAGGGATACAAGAGTGAGACGTGCGCTTCCCTACCTTGCACATCCTCATCCGCAGCTTGCTCATCCTCCTCCTCCGCAACAGCAGTAGGAATGACACCCGCGGGCCTTCCTTGGCCCGTCTGCGTGCCCGCCAACATGCACATGATTAATCACGCCGAATGCAATCAATCCAAGTACGCAAACATCAACAAGAGGTGCGTCGGAGCACAAACGGATACTTCAACTCCCCAAGAAGAACCAGCGCAGAACGATACAACCACGGAGAGCCCAGACGAAGGATACGAAGGTGAACCTGGTGTCGTGTTATAAAAAGAAAAGACCAGAAGTGAAAGAACAGTTGAAATGATAAAATGAACTAACTTATACAGGGTATACATAATGATATGCAGTGGTAAGCCGCAACATTTATTTGCACTCAAAATTACAAATTTAAATTATCTTAATACTTTGCACTTCTATTTAGGAAGTGCCTTGCAAAATTTAGTTGCAACCTAACGACAATATATCTATACAAAATCAATCCAAATATACAAAGAAAGATTGTAGTTTAAAAAAGAAAGTACACGAAAGACGATATTTAAACATATTTAAAATTAGTTGTTGTATCTAAAAAAATTTATTTGTCAAATATACAATCAATTTAATTAATTAAAATTTAATTAATTCAAGCAGATCTAGTAAATTTTCATTCGATTTTATTTTGTAAATTTTCGCACACGAAATCAATATTACATTACCTTTATTTCAAATGTAAATCATAACTTTAGAATAATTAATTAAAAATGCAATTGAAAACGTTAATTTATAAAAACAATTTTAATACTTTGTCTAAAAAATGTGTAAATAAATAATTAAAAACCGGTAATAATATCAGGATATAATAAATAACAATGTATTGCATAAGAATATACCAAGGACTATTAACCAAGATATAATTTCATAGTTTATTTGAATAAACTTTATTATAAATAAATGCAATATTATATAATTCCATTATTTTGCATTTTTATTAGTTAATTGTTGAAGAATATGCTGTGATTTTATTTCTGATTCAAAATAAATTAGGAGATTTATATAATATTTTATATAATGCAATATTGATTATTATAATAAGCATATAACATAACTACGTAGGCAAATCTAAATAATAAAAATATATTTGATCTCATTTTTTTATTGAAATTAAGTAAATATGAGAATTTTATTTGAAAGTATCTAGATTTTCTTCATTGTTTAAATAATTTAGTATATTTTTAAATGAAAAAAAAATGAGTGCAGAGAAGTGAAGTGGCTAAAAATCGATGAACACCACTGTAAATAGTATAAATATGTAATAAAAAATAATAATTAAGAAAAAGTTAAGATTAAGCGAAACGAGAAAATAGTTCTCGATGTAAAGGCAATTTATTTATGAGAATACGGACGTCGGAGTAGGCGAAAGTGTAGCGGAAACTTAATTTTTACTTTGTAAGGATTTAGACGTAAAACTAGATTTGTTAAATTGTTAAACAATTAAATATAACGGATAATAGTGGAAGTTGTAAATAATATGTAAGTTAGGTGAATTATATGAACAGATCTATATATAAATATGTATATGAATGATAGTAATTTAGTAGGATATTGAGTTTATTAGATTATCGTTCCCTTGTTTGTTTACTCTTCAATTATGTACTTTTTTTCATATAGAAATACCCCAATATACGTCGACGTTGATCAATTTTTTATAACAAATACTATATACTAAATATATATATATACATACACAAATAAACAAATAAATAACGAAACATATATGTATGATAATTCGGATCTTGCTATTTATCTCATCCACATTCTCCTTCCTGTATCAATCTTGTGCGTTTTTGCGTGTGTGTGCGACAAAGAGAGCGAATAGATTGAAATGGTGGGAGGGAAGGTTGTGTTTTGGGGTTGTTGGTGGGGTTGTTGGTGGGGTGCGGGTTTTCGACGGCAGAAGATAATGGTAATGTAATCTTGGGGACAAATATAACTCACGGCATAAATCCAGAGACCACTGCTGTGCTATGGGGGTTTACTTGTTTCAGGTTATTACATTATGCTAAGGAAGCTCAGGAGAGATCTTTATCATCCAGTATGCATTAGCTCAGGGGGGAAGGTTGTTATTTTCTTCTGCGTGATATATGGCTCCGGCGCATGCATAATCTATTAATTGCCAACCAACCCCCAAAACTTAAGACGCAAGAAATTAACGTCGGGATTAACAGTGGAACGGCACACTCCCAACAGCAATGATACAAGCTGGCAAAACTAAAGCATGAATACTTAAGTTTCAGGACGCGCACTTTACGATCGTAATACAACAGTGCTTATTCGAATTACCAACATTCCATTAAAGGTAAGTGGAATAATTAATAGTATTTATAATATAAATATTGTCATGCAGTTTATAATCTCATCAATTTGTGTCATAATTATAATATATATATATATATAGCCATTTGTAGTACTTGGCTCCATAACAAAAAACGCATTTTACAATTAAACTTTCTACGATTATTTGAATTTACCGCCATTCTATAAACAATATTCCACTACAAGCAAGTTGACTATTTACTAAATTCTCCAAATTAATTAATTTACTTTCATAATAATGTTATTATTCATATTCTAATTATTAATTTCAATCACACTCGCCATAGTTACACGTATGATCGAGTTTATAAATGTTTATTTACACCAAAAATATGTTTGAATTCAATCACAATTATTCAATTTTCTTTAATTAATTATCAATTTACTTACCAACATTCCATTGACGGTTGAGTTGATTAATTATTATATTTAAAAAAAATCATTAAATTTCAAACTTTCTTAGTTACAACATTCAAAAAGAAGTGTCTGCTTTTAGTTTTTTATTGGATTATTGAAATAATGAAATTAAATGTATCAGTAGTTATTTTTTTAAATTAAATCCAAAATGTTAAAATAATTACAGTGTTGATGATGAGGAAGTTGTTCGCGCTGGTACTAAAAAAATGGTGGAACATGGGTTAACCATCAAACCGTCAACCATCAAACAACCCGGATTACAGGTTCTCGATTTGGGTTTTTTTAACACCATTCAATCATTACAACACAAAGAGTCCTCATCCAGTATTGATGAACTCATTGCGACCGTGTTAAAAATAACCGCGGGGAAAACTAGACAGGTTTTTTCATTATATTTCCAAAGTACATCAAGCTTTCTCACATAAGCAAGGACAAAATTCGTTTGCAGAGAACATTATTAGCACGTCACGTACTTGACTAATTTGTTGAATGTTACTTATAAGTGTTAATTTTCAAATGTTTTCCATTTTATGTTATAGTTTAGTTATGAAAATACAATACAATTTCTAAACTAATATATTTAAATGAAATGAACATTTAGTATATCTTCATAGTACTGAATTTCACATATAAATATTATAATTAATTATAAAGTCAATAATGTTAATATAATATTGATGTTCTCTTAATAGATATTTTAATTTCCCGCCATTAAATTTAAAATATTAGTCTTGAAATCAGTAAAATATAAATCAAGAATGTATAGCTTCAATATTAACTTTTCTTCTTGGTAATCTACAGAAACCAAAAAGTTTTTCGTATGTATATTTTTTATATTTTCAGAAAGAACTAACGATACGTTAAGACATACACAGCGTCAGAATGACTTTGATGAACGTATTTGGAAATGCAAACCCGACGATCCGCGGATGTAAGGAAAACTTTACTTTTAGCAACAAAGTTTTGAATACGCTCCAGTTTTTTGCGGCGAGGAAATGGAAAAATAATAAAAACGTAGAGGCGAGATCCTAAAACCGTAAGTGCATTATTAAATAAAAATCGAAAACTTAGAAATATATACAAACAAGAAATACGTACATTTTACGCAGCACTAAACTCCAAGAAGAGTATAGTTTCGTTCTTCATATAAACTTTAATAAATCATTCCAGAAGAAATGCATTTTGCATATTTTTCTCAATGCTTGATCTATTAAACAACTTTCAGACTATAAAAGTGTCTCAGAGCTTTCATTAACAACTTAATGAATAACATTAATCTTATGGTTATTTTTTTACACAATTTTAGTGTTAAATTACAAAACAAAAGTGGAATTTAATTAAATTTCTTAAGCATTCTTTAGAAAAGCATTACCTAAGGTACTATATATTAATACTACTCTAATTAGACATAAAATAATTTATCAAATTAAATTCAACAATACAACAATATCTCGCTCGCATAGTGCGGGTAATTTAATTTCTTGCACTGTTTGAAACCGGACATTCGAGAAGTTTATGCAGCACAAAAAGAGATTTGATTTTAAAAAAAGAATAATTTGGTGTTATTTTTTATTTTGATCAATTCATATTTAGTTTGATTTGAAATTTGATATAGATGCCGTACTCTTGCTGTATATAATTCTCATTAAATAATTACTTTCATATAATGTTATTCATTTTTTTTTTCACTATTACACAAACATATGTTATACTTTATTAATTTTCGTTTTTATTATGTCATATTAAATTCAATTTACAATTTTATTCCTGTGAACATTATTTAAATCTAATGGCGCTAGACATTTGTTTTTTGGTAAACTTCCGAATGGAAGTTTTTATCATTATATTCTTCTGTAATTTATTGGTTGGCTGCCGTATTGCAGGTTAACTTCAATATATTGATGCTCTGCGATTCAACAATTCCCTTAGTCTATGTATCTGCTGCTAATTAGGTCCATATGCTAAAAGTCTTTCATTTGACTGTCTATTCATGATGAACGATTACCGTATTGCTGCAAGCACCGAGAGGGATTGCAAAGGCCTGGCTTGACCAGGATTCGAATCGTGAGTACAAAATATAAATTAAAATGTTAATTTTATAATTATTATATCCACTAAATATTATTTCTCTTTGAGTATTTCTTCATCATTATTTTTTTATTATATATTATTACTAAATATATGTCATTAATATGATTGATTAAAATTACAATATACAATTTTCACTTAGTTGATGATACTTACAATATCTAAAGTAAAAATAAACGTTTTGAAATATTTGTATTTCTAAAAATGTAATTTCATTAATTTAATTTTTGAAGGAAAAGTGATTAATAAAATTGTCGAATTTTTTAATTGTTAATTTAAGGATGGTTTAAAAATATCATAAATCATCTATAGCTATGAGTTAAAGTTTTAAAGATCACATTAATTAACGAAAATATTGTTGATGGAGGTAATTGCAAGTAACGACATAAATTTGCAATTCAATTGTAAATTCCACTCTAATAAATGGTGCATGCGCCGGGTCATGAGATCATCATAATCCAATAGAGATGTGTCCGCCACCGGTTTTCTCTAATTTCAGCGAAGCAACAGTTAAAATGAATCTCCTGATTGCGCAAAATATTTAATAACTTTACTCCGTCTCTCCGGTATAAAGAATTAAGGACGTGTAAAGACGTCGAGCATCCAAAGGGAAAAATGGTGCTTATTTTGAGTCCGGGACGAGGGAATTAAGAAGAAGGACGAATGTATGGGAAAAATAATATAAA